AATTTAAAAATGGAAAATGAGTAAATCTAAGTAATTACAGCAATGTTAAAAAATGGACGCTTATAAATAGATACATTTTATAAATAGATAAATTTTATAAATAGATAAATTTTATAAATAGATAAATTTTATAAAATAATACGATAATAAAAATACATATTTGAATATTTATCTCTATTAAATCTTTTTGAATATTTTGTTTTTTTTTATGCTTATTTTGAAGATCTTAAAATGAAATTTCTGATTTTTTTGTTATAAAAAAATGGACGATATAATTAGATACGGAAATTTGCATTTACTAAAAATTTCGAAATATTAAAGATGTATGAATTTAGTATAGAAAGATTATAAAGAAAATTTTCCGGTTACAATACTAATGATTACATGTTTGGAAAATTTGAAGGGATAATTCTTATCTAAAATCAGTACCCGAAATACTTACCCGAAATCAATACTTATCTGAAAAAAATAAAATTAAAATAAAATAAAATGAATACTTTCTGAAATCAATACTATTCTGGAATCAATACTTGTCTGAAAGAGCTCGTAATACACAACACATACTGCATCAGATACACAGCCTGATTTTCTTCGGATGCAAATCGGCTTTTCGAGTGGTTAACGGTGACTCAGTTCGTTTTACACATGAGCATTTTCGCTCCACATTGTTGTAAACAATCCATTTCTCATGGTTTTTATTTTCTCTTCTTTCTTTTGGATTTTTTCCTGAGCTACGTAACTGTTGTAAAATTTAAAAACAAACTGAGCGTAGCGTTAAAATACAACGATAAAGATGAAAACAAAAAAAAAATCGTCAAAAGTTTTTTCTTCTTTATTTCGAGCGAAATCGAACACCATAAACAAGTATCTTGCATTTTTTCTGTCAATGTGATATGAATAAATAAACTTAATAATCAATTGGTTACCTGACATTGTAAGTACGATCCAATACTAGTGAACGCACCAATTGCAGTATTAAGCTAACTAGCACTGGTTGATCCATGCCGTTATAGTTGACTGTCTTTAATATCATCCACCAACGTATAGATTTTAATGCTTGTTTATCTATTACTGGAGAGCTGTTGTTCGCTCCAGGTTTCTAATCATTGAGGTTTGTTTCCCAAAATAACTAAGGTTTCTCTCTGACTACTAACCATTAACCTGTTTGTTAACCGAGTCATAGGAACACATATGACACTCCACCACGTCAGGGTACTTAATCATGGTTCATAACATTTTTAAAGCTAATAATGTTAATTTTTCTTAATGTCATATCGCTTCAGGACATAGGCGGTCATGACTCTCCACAGATTCCTTTTCATTATTATTTATGAATTGTCATGCTTTCTTGTGAAAGACAGTACGTTGTTTTCATGTTAACTTCTCCATGGATTGCAGTTCCTTCTCATGGACTGGTTGACATTCAAACTTAGATAGCCCAATATATTAATTATTTAACCAATAACTGGAAGTTGGGGAGAGACGGATTCCTGTCATTGCTAAGGAGATTAGTGCCAAAATGAACGCAATAGACTAACTCGGAATTTGAACACGGTTCGACGGTTCCACTTTCCGTGACGATAACCGTTACACTTCTCCCTCGTCGTTAATAAAATAAATATAAGTTAAATTCATTTAAATATTAGGGAGTTCGGAAAGTAATTACGCTTTACCAGAAACAGTAAATTAATAAAAGAAAAACAAAGCAAACAAAGGTAAGCTGAATGTATTTAAATATTATTTATCAAACATGTAATCACCTTCATTTTCATCGACAGTAATTCAACCCAACCAAAAGGCAATGTTTCGAGTGCAGATTTGAATGAAATCTGGGTTTCCCCAAAGAATATTTCCAACTTCACTTTTATTTCTAAACGTTCTGGTTGGTTGACTGATTTTCTTTAGCCGCATATTAACACCTGTATGGATTATTTAATTCCGAAATCTAAATATTTTTAACACAATTTTATGCCTTCAACTACAGAAAATATATTGTTGGTCATTTTACTATTAATCTTTATTGTCAGTAATTTTTATATATGAAAATATATTGCTTGTATTTTTACTATAAAAATGTATTTTTATACTTTCATAGTGTTTTGTTATTGTTTAAGGCTTCACTAGTTGCCCAAACCTGGGACCCTGACAGGTGCTACCACTCTGGATCAGAGTTGACCTGGAAACAACAGCAATTAAGTGGTGGTTCCACGCTCCTCAAAAGCTCCAATTTTCCGATCAGTAGCGTTGCTACAGGATGTGGTTTATCGTCATACCCAGGACTACTAAACGTTCAACCGATTATGAAATGTTCTAGTGATGGACGTGGAAGAACCTCTCATCTTAAAGATCTTATTTTTCTTTTGTTGGGGTGTGTACTTTTATTGTCCTGCTATAGAATAACACATTTTCTGTTTACCAAAACAAGCTTTCGACGTAATGCTTCGATTACTGGATAAAGTTGCTGGCTGTAAGCGTTTGAAGTGATGTAACACTTGTAACGGTGCAATAAAAAGACGAAACGTTGGCATTCAAAGTTAAAAGATCGCTTCAGATGGCGGAACGTTGTTATCAGTTCTCGAATGAAAGCTGATAAGGAACCTCTATTCCCTTTTAGCAAGTTTTCCTAATTAGACGCTGAAATCCACAGTAAACAATACACTGTCGAATGGAAATGATTATAAACTAATTCTAGAAGCAATTTTCTACCATTAAGCTTTCATTCTGCATACTCGACTCATAATTCTTAGCAGAGAAATACGTAATTACTTGCCGAAAATTCAAATAGAAGAGATGATAAATTAATTTTTGATACTGTTTATGAAAATTCAGCTTTGGTTTTTCTTTGGGCGGTTGATTCATAATTTATAGCAGAGAAATACGTAATTACTTTCCGAACACCCTAATATATAAAAAAAAGATGTATTAAAGGCTATTAATATATTGATTTACTAAGCGAAGCTTAAATATGGCATAAGACCGAAAGTATGAGTCACCTAATGGGATCCAACTTATAATTGTAATTTACCTTATGAGACAAGCGTGCTAACCATTACACCACGTCGTGCCCTCATGATTTACTAAGCGTACCTTAGATGTGACACAAAGTCGAAAGTAGGAAGCACTGAGTGAGGATCGAACTCACAACTCAGTCGTAATTAATCTAATGAGATAACCCATTACACCATGTCTATATTCCTTATTAATTAGTTAAATGGGGCTTAATTATGGCACAAGGTCGAAAGTAAGGAACACCCAGTAAGGATCGAACTCACTTTTCAGTCGTAATTGCTAACCATTTCACCATATCGATGTGCCCTAGATCTATTAATATAATTTACTTCTAAAGAATGCTGATACTTTTTTAATTAAGAAATTTGGGTGATAACAGAGTTTAATAAGTGTAGGTAGATCACAAACTGTGCCGTCTCCTCTCAGGACGTAGCTCTCCACCATTTCCTGTCGATTGTAGCTCTTAATAAATGTTGTCTTTTTGTTATCTCCTAAAACCTATTTCCCCATCCATCTACTCAAGCTTGATTATACATTGTTTTCCTCTGTCCCTCTTGCCTCAATCTGTCCTGTGAGTATCAGGTTTTCCAAGCCCTCTTTCCTCATTATGTGCCCTAGAAATTTCAACTGCCTTTTCCTGAAGTGTATGTTTCCTTTTTGTTTCCATTTTCTCTAAGACTTTGTCGTTGCTTAAATGTTTGGTTCATGGCATCCTCAGCATTCCTCTGTAGAACTACATTTCTATCCCGTTCTGGGTATGACAATAAACTACATCCGCAGCCTGAGTAAAACAATAAGCTACGTCAAACATCAACGCCTCTGATCAGGAGGATTTGAAGAGCGTGGAACCACCTCTTAAATGCTGCTGTTCCCAATTTCACCCTGACCCAGAATGGTAACACCTGTTAGGGTCCCAGCTATGGGTAAATAGTTAACCCTCAAACTGGGGTCAAAACACTATGAAGGTGTAAAAATAGGTTTTAATTCCAGCAACACATTATTGGAAAATTATGACATCATCATAGCTTGACTTAGTGTTATAACCTAGGGAAGGTTACTGAATAGAACAATCGCATGAAGGTTAATAATGAACGATACTATTTAGGACAAGAACAACGCATATAAGATTCGTCGGCGGCGCGTAGAAGTAGTCAACTGCTAGAAGAGAGTCTAGTGAATTCCACAATGAATCTCCAACTTCAGGATATCTACCAACCGCCCAACGCGGTCAGATGTGGAACAAGGCCGAATTTTATGTGGAATATCCGAGCCCATAGGCTCGGTCAAAAATTCCCGTAGACCCCATAAAAAACGAGGTCGTGTAGCTATCTCCCGAGATGAGACTCTGCTCTTCGACATAGCCTTTGTCTGGGGATCCTCTTTGCCCGGAGGCAGAGAGGTTGAACAGCACAACTGGAGACGAATGATATCTACCAACCGCCCCATGTGGTCAGATGTGCCACAAGGCCGAATTTAATGTAGGGTATCCGAGCCTGTAGGATCGTCCAAAAATTCCCCGTAGACTCCGTATAAAACGGGGCCGTGTAGCTGTTTCCCGAGGCGAGACTCTGTACTTCGATAAAGCCTCGTCTGGGGATCCTCTCTGCCCGGAAGTATAGAGTTTGACCAGCACAGCTGGAGACGAATCTTCAACTGCAGGATATTTGCCAACCTCCCCACGCGGTCAGATGTGGCACAAGGCCGAATTTAACGTGGAGTATCCGAGCCCGTAGGCTCATGCAAAAATTCCCTGTAGATCCCGTAAAAAACGGGGTTAGGTAGCTGTCTACCACCCATAGCCTCGTCTAGGTTCCTCTCTGCCCGAAAGCAGAGAGTTCGACTAGCTTAGCTGGAGACGAATCTCCAACTGAAGACCAACATACAGTATTTACTAATGTATTTATGTAAATGGGAATAAACCCATTATCGTCCGTAGGTATGTTTCAACGATTAGTGAGGAGAGGATTCTATGTCTTGTAAATTTGCGAGGCCTATATGGGATATTTTTTCCACGGCTTCTGCAACAAGATGAACCACCGGCTTTTACGTAGTTGTTTCTTTTTTTTCTGCTCGAGCTCTGTAGAAGTTTCCTTCGAAGACTTCCATCTCTCCCCGTCTGTTGCCAACTGACGGTAGTCGGTCTCACAAAGAGTCCCGATCTCTCTTCCATGGTGACCTTCCTGTTTCGCTGGATAGAGGCGAGTTTGATGCACATAAACGTCTTCTATCATCCTCGACACATGGTCTGCCCATCTCAGATCTTTCTTTTTCAGTGATTGTAATATTGATTGCCTTGATGACTTCTGTATTTGTAATGATGCCACTCCAATGTACTTTAAGAAAAGTGCGGAGGCACTGCTATTAAAACGTATGAGTAGTCGTAGGTAGCACAGTGTGATAAATATAACTTTACTCTCTAGGAGGGTCGACAGCGTGCCAACTATGTACGCTTATTTTGATATATTTATTGAAGTTGTTATAACTCCAGACAAGTTTGTACAGTCTATCAAAAGCTTTATTTGCTTTTACTCGTCTGTTGCATTTTACATAAAAATAATTTTATATTTACAATATTCTAAAAAGTAATACAATTAAAACTAATGCAATGTAATATTTATCATTTACAAATTTATAAAGAAATAAATATGAAAATATTATTTATTCATAAATTTATAAACATTTCCTAAATTATTTAAATATGTGAACCGACTATGAGGAAATCTTTATTATTTACCATTTTATAAACTTTGATTCGATTAACAATTAACCAATGCTTTGTTAACCATTCCAATAATCAATATAATAAATAAATAGTGTCAATAAACAATCTAATAAATAAATATTGTTTATTATTTTGGTTATAAATTCTCAAGAACAAAGAAAATGTATAAATTCACTTTTATATATTTAGATTTGATTACATTTTTAATCATTGTTTTTAAAAGAATCACCAAGAAGTTTGAAGATAGTTAAAATAATAACAATGTCAATGGAAAAATCGTTCTTTTGAAATTTTTGGCGGGAAGGAAGGTCAGTGATTACCAAAAATTGTATATTTAAAAAATTTTAAACTCAATCTTTTCGTATATTTTATAATAAACAGGTTGATTTTGAATTTGATTTTTTAAAAATCAATAGTTGCTGCTGATTTATTGAAATTCTTGAATGAAGAAAAACAAACTGCACAATCATTTTTCTTGAAAGAAAAAAAAGTTTCCTATGTTAATATTAGGTAAACGGCCAACCAACAGACCTCTGTCTTTACAGAGAACACAGTCTTTAAGTAGATAAAGATGCTAAGATAAAATGTGCTCCAGGATTCAGGAGTAGAGACAGTCTTTTGCCACATGATGTGTACGGCGAATGGTAAATTTTTAAATGTGCAAGATGGACTCTAACGAGAAAAAACTGACAAATTTCCAGCAATCCATGCAGCCATGCCGGCCAAAAATATAATGCTCTATATTCCTTTGAATCTTGTTGGTACAGTTTTGCAGCGCACGGCCTCCATCTGCCATGGTCCACAGGCCTGGGCTGGGGTTAGGGTCACTTCATTCTCACCCTACAAAGGACTGAATTCGGATCAAGCAGGTCGCCACCTTTATCCCACGAGATAAACGTATGCCTACTAGATTTAGCTTAAGCTGAATCCAAGTAATATTAATAACAGCATCATCTTGTGTTGTAGATGAATTATGTGTTAAAGTGCCATATTGACAAATATTCAATATAAGTTAAAAAAAAATATATATATAGGCATCTCCGAGTCCTTGTTGGAGAAGAAATATTTTCCACCCTCCACGTTCTCTCTCACAGGTGGGATGTGGCGAGTCTTTCACTGTTCTATCGTTACGTCCATGGAAAGTGCTCGGAACCTTTACGGCTAGGACCCGCAATGCCACTTACATAGTAGTAAACCACCCACACTCCCTCCGTATCCCTATCTTTCCCCGGTCACTGTTAAGTATAGAGTTAAAAGTTATCTCCCCCTCCTATCCATATAAACCGCCTCTTAACGTAACTCTCTATCTCGAATGTCCCCCGGACCTTGTGCAGGGTGAACCTTACTGTAAAAAAATAAATAAAAATGAAAAAAATAACAACTCATAAAAATAAAATCATGATAAAATGATTCTATTAAGGTTATTGATATAAAAACATGTACAACTACTGATAAAGATCACGGAATACAGTTATGTGATTATAGGTTAGATTAATTTCGTGAGGACGTTACATTTTTGTGATTTTACGTTTAACTTGTGCGTTCAAGCGGGACGTCAGATCGAAAGCATAATCTTTATTTCCGATCTCGTAATGACTCAGAGCTGTCGACTATGAAGATTAAAGCAAATACTTGTAAAAATGAATGACAATGGTTGACTACATTTCATCTAAAAATACAAAAAATACGATGAAAGCAAATACTTGTCAATAATTAATAATGATGGTTGACAACATTTCATCTAAAAATACAAAAAAATAAGATTAAAGCAAATACTTGTCAATAATTAATAATAATAGTTGACAATATTTCATCAAAAATTACAAAAAGAAAATAAGATGAAAATAAATACATGTCAATAATTTATAATAATGTTTGACAAGGTCTCATCAAAAAACAAAAATAAGATATAAGCAAACTCTTGTCAATAATTGATAAGAATGTTTGGCAATACATCATCAAATAAGAAATAAGATGAATTAGATACCAGAAAAGAATTAATAATAATGTTTGAAAAAGCTTCATATAATAAATATAATCTGAAAATTATGACGCAGGTAAATCTTTAATTATAAGGTACGACAATAGATTCATTTGATAAAAAAGCAAAATTTATTACAACATTTTGACCGTTGTACGCTCCGGCCTTCTTCAGGTAGTTGGAATGTCAAACTGAACCCTTTATTTCGCTCACTGGGGTAGACTGTTCTAGTTCCACGTGCCATGTTTTAAAAAAATTATCTTAAAAAGTCAAGTTTTCTCAAAGGAACGCTCATTAATTCTTTCATTCAGTATAAGAATTGAACGAATTTTAAAGAGTAAATTTACAAACACAACATTTATATAGGTACCTGCAAAAATCTCTAAAAATAGGAGACATGATGAAAAAATGCACAAAATTTTATGGCCAAAATCTTTGTATCGAATGATGAACGAAAGATCAAAGGTTTTTTGACGTATTTTTTTTTATTAATCTTTTTTATAATCTTCGAAATTGTATGGGAAACTTCAGCTTTTTTTGCGGTGAAAAAACATTGATTCTGAAAATTCATGCAAAAATCAGATAATTGTTGAATTTTAATGAAACTTTCAGAAGGTTTTCACACATGAATAATAAAAAAAAAAACAAACAAAAAACAAAAAAAAACAGGGCACGTGGAACTACAACAGACTACCCCAGTGAAGGCCGGAGCGTACAACGGCCGAAACGTTGTAATAAATATGGCGGCAAAGATGAGGACAATAGTCCGAATAATGTAAATAATGTACATAATACCTCATCTCAGAAGTATAGACAGATAAAAAAGCAAAAAATAATTAATAATAATTGTTGAGAACGATTCCTCGAAAAAAAAAAGCCAATTCTCGTCAAAATTAATATTAATGGCTTGACAAGGCTCGTTCTAATAATTCTTTTTCTTTCTATGTGCCGTGTCCTTTCAGGACGTAGAGGATCATTGTTCTCCACCTCCCTCTATCCCTTGCAGCTCTCAACAAGTTCCTTCCCTCTGCTTCCTCCCCCAGACCAAGTTCTGTCATCCACTAGGCCGCTAGGTATGTCATGCGTTGTTTTCCCTTGTCTCTCTTTCCATCTATTTGACCCGTGAGTATCAGATTCTCCAGGACCCTCATTATGTGCCCCAGGAACTTCAGTTGCCTCTTCCTGATGTTAAGTATAAGCATCCTCCTTGTTTGAATCCTCTCTAAGACCTTATCGTTGCTCACACGCTCAGTCCATGATATCCTCAGCATCCTTCTGTAGGACCAAACCTCGAGTCTCTTCTTCATCTTTGAGGAAATCATCCAACATTCGCTGCCGTAAAGAAAGACATATGTCACGTAACTAGCAAACAATTAAAACTAATCAATATGGCAATTTCGCCCTTATATATTAATGTAGTTGCAACTGTAAACATGGTAGCTGAAAGACATATCCAAAGCCTTTTTGCTTGACTGGACGCTCGTTATGATCCCACTCTGAACAGTTAATGATCTTGCATAATGGCGCAGGAATGAGGGTATATATATATATAATTCATCGAGTTTGAAACCTCAACAGAATGCAGAAAGCACTGGACGGCTGTCTCGTCCTATATTTGGGACTCAACAGCATACCGAGAATTGAAACCCTGACAGGTAGGTTGTCATGCAAACATCATACCAACTGTTCCAACGGACCTCGGTGACAAACGGATTGCAAATCAGACTCAATATAGCGCCGCTCGCTCACATATTCCGTGGTGGAACTCTGCTGAGTTTCTCTCTAACCATAGGACTGTGCCCCCTGGAGTCACAACTACTATCACCAAGCCGCTCACTCTAGAGCATTAGAAGCCGGTTCAAGCAATGATATACACATGATAGAAATTATTAGGAGGATTTGATAATTATATTTAAGTAATTCATCGAGTCTGAAACCTCAACAGGATGCAGAAAGCACTGGACGGCCGTTTCGTCCTGTATTTGGGACTCATCAGCAGTGCGCATCCACTACCGAGAATTGAAACCCTGAATATGTGAGCGAGCGGCGCTACATTGAGTCTGATTTGCAATCTCTTCGTCACCGAGGCCCGTTGGTATGATGTTTGCTTGACAACCTAACTGTAATTGCTGATGAGTTCCAAAGGTGGACCAGTTGCTATCCACGGCTATATAACCCGGTCTGTTCCGCTATTTACCCATAGCTGGGGGGAGAAGAAGGTTATTCATACATTTCCCAAGCGTATTAGCACGTAAGTGAATATAATGGGTTCGACTGGAATTCGAACTTGTCTCTCCGATTTCTCAATTCGAGCCGCTATCCATTACTCCAGCGACCCCATTTTTGGGTCTGATCTGGGTCTTATAAAAGTACAGGATACCAGCAAGAGGGAGATACTTGCTGGAGCGCTACAGGGAACCGACCATTTTTCAAACATATTTAGCGATGGATCGTATGCTTCAGGAGAACTTACATCTCACCAGGGGAATATGAAATGAATGAAGGTGGTTCGCTGCTATGTGTGTGGCATAGTGATTCTTTGGCGTGAAGGTTAAGACTGGTGAAACTAAAGAGTGTACTTCATCTGGAAATAGCGATAGAGCTGTTAGAGGCTTGCTACGTCTTGTCTGTATGCAAAGGTTTGCAGAGTGGAATATAATTGGTCACCCACATGGACATTACTGAGTGTGGAAAGTGAAGACTTGGCTGTTCTCTCCGATATATGGCAGCAGTACCCCCTTTTCGGTCTGATATGTTTTTTGTAGAGGATATCACGTGGAGTGGAGTACTTGCTGTAGTGGCAGAGGAAACCCACCATTTTTCCAGCATCTTTAGCGATGGACGAGTTACACTTGAGGTTTGGGATGAGTTTAAGTCCAAACAGACCATCAAAGCCGGGCTAGAAATATGGGATATCCAGTGAGGATCGAATACATTGTAGGAGTTGTTATTATAAACAAGCTGGTGAAAAGACAAGCTTGTTAACCACTACTTTACATCAAAGCTCATATTGCCGAATGCTTTTGTAATCAGACACACGTAGGCGTAAAGATAGTCTTGAGTCCGAAATTTGAAGTATTCAGAGTAACATCAATGTTACAATACACACACAATACACACACACGCGCACACAGAGAGAGAGAGAGAGAGAGAGAGAGAGAGGGAGAGAGAGAGAGAGAGAAAGAGAGAGAGAGAGAGACAAGCTTGTTAACCACTACTTTACATCAAAGCTCATATTGCCGAATGCTTTTGTAATCAGACACACGTAGGCGTAAAGATAGTCTTGAGTCCGGAATTTGAAGTATTCAGAGTAACATCAATGTTACAATACACACACAATACGCACACACACGCACACACACACACACACACACACAGAGAGAGAGAGAGAGAGAGAGAAGCTTGTTAACCACTACTTTACATCAAAGCTCATATTGCCGAATGCTTTTGTAATCAGACACACGTAGGCTTAAAGATAGTCTTGAGTCCGGAATTTGAAATATTCAGAGTAACATCAATGTTACAATACACACACAATACACACACAATACACACACGCACGCACAGAGAGAGACAGAGAGAGAGAGAGAGAGAGAGAGAGAGAGGGAGAGGGAGAGGGAGATATAAAGAGAAAAAGAGATAGGGAGAGAGATGTTTTACGGCTTAGACTTTTTTTAAATTTAAAAATTTTTTTTTTACTTTTAGATACTAGTTTTTTTTTATAGATAATAATAATTTACATGTACAAGTCCTCCTAATTAACCTATAGGTGGGGAGGAGAAGTGGATTCATAAATTTCCCAAAGGTATTTGCACGTATGTGCATATAACGAACCCAAACGGAATTGGAACTCGGCTCTCCGATTCTAAATTCTGAGCCGTTATCCATTACAGCACACTCACATCCAAGTTTACAGCACTTGGTATTCCCAAGCGGACGCACATCTATGTAATGACCAGGTTCGAAGTTGATCATACAGGAACCGATGTTTCAACGTGATATGGCCGTAAGCCAGAGAAATAGAATCAGACATACACAAACAAAGTTGAACCGATGCACTTGAATAAACCGTACAAATTGCCTCCACGCACATTGATTCAGGTTTCCTTATCATCAAGTCAAAATCGCCCCCACACACGTCTGATGCAACAATAAGTAAACACATCAATTTGTCTGCAATAAAATTGATGTGTTTACTATATATATATATATATATATATATATATATATATATATATATATATATATATATATATATATATATATATATATATATATATACACACACACACACACTCACTCACTCACTCACACTCACTGGGAGCGTGGACGAGTGGTTAGAAAGTTTGGTTTCTGACCATGAGACCCGGGTTCGAATATCTTCAATGTTGATTTGTCAGGAAGGAGACTTCCTGATGATATCGGTCTGGGGTGGCTATATCACTACTTGATCCATGCCTTGTGAGTGAAATTGGGTAGACGGAACATTTGGTGGGGGGGGTCGTCGATAGCAAGTCATCGTGACCGAGGGTTTGAATGTGCTGGATATTTTCAGATTGTTGTTCGCACTAGATAACACGCCCTCTCGCAGAAACTGCAATTAAGGTGTGCTCAGCATAGTTGCTGTATAAACTACAGGTAGGCTCTGTTGAACAAACACAACATGCCTGAGCGAGGGTCTGCAATAGGGATTGGCTAGCCACCCTAATAGCCAGGTATTGTCGAACACGAGTGCCCAGCTATATATATATATATATATATATATATATATATATATATATATATATATATATATGGTAGAACTCCCGAAATCCGAACATATAATTTAGACTTCCTTGAATTTGGACTCATCTTCAAATCCGAACTTTTGTATTGACATAAACACAAAAGTACCCTCAATACCAAACATCTCGGATGTTCCGTTTTGAGGAGTTGTACTTTATATCCTTATTTTTAACTTCCTTTACATGTTGTAATTGTTTTTTAATAAGATAATATACAGACATGCGTATTACAAAATGAAATTATCAAAAAAAGAAACTTCACAATCGTAAAGTGAAAGAATGTCGTATTCGTGTCAAAAGCACCATAGAAAGAAATGTCATGAATGCAAATTTTAAAAAAATTACAATATTTATTTAGCACAATTTTTTTCATTACTATTGGTCGTCAAATTTTTTTGTACATTTATGTATTCAATGTACATTTTAAATAAAAACAAATCAACGTTACAAACTAACTATAAAAAAATGATCAACACAGAACATTCATTGGTTTTTAATCAAACGGTCATTAATGAAAAATTGGTGCCCGAGCACATCCAGTTAGATTATCTACTAACTTCCACATATATATATTATGATTTTTGCCATAGCTTTCAAACTCAGTAAATTTAAAAATAAGTTAAGTATGGAAATATTTGATAATAATAAAATGAAATATATAAGCATTAAAACTAAACAACCATGAAGTAAATCTAGAAAAAAAAGTTAAAAATAAACGGAGGTAGAGTAATGTTATATGTTTAAATAACCTTTTTCTAACGAATATTGGAAGAATTTTTCTAAATTTAATTCATAATCACTTTAATCACTTTGCAATACTAAAGAAGATTAAAAAAAATAATGTAAAGATCAGCGTTGCGTTAAAAACATCGAAAAATCAATATCCCAACATAACAATATTATACTAAATAAATATATATCCAACAAAGACAACAGCGTTAACATTTTTTAAAATAAATGCAATTGCCGAAAAAATACTATATCTCCCTTAAACGGCCAATGTATGATTGATAACATTGTATATGGAGCTATTCCAGTAATGATGTCAAATTTGATTTTGGCTCCACTGAAAATCCTTGAAAATTTCGTTTCTATCATCATCAAATGATTTATGCAATGTAAGATACATGAACAGCACTGATCCTTCCAAACATATTAAAGAATGGTGCTAATTCAGCCGTGGGATATCGTAGCAAAATTCAAATCTTTCAATTTAATGGATGTAATTTATGCCTTATAGAAAAATAAGTTATCTTAAGACATTTAAATAGCCCTAGCTTATTAAACAAGAGAAATGAATTGATGGTTACATGTACACCTAAAAATAAATACGTTGGTCCAGATTAATTTTTATTGAAAATTATGACCTTTCCGTTTTTTATATTATTATTATTTATGGTCTCTAGGTCCGTTTATTTTTATATAAAAAAAATTTTAAACATTTTTTTTAAAAACCGGTAATCACCGTTTATGTGTAATATAAAAAAATAATCCCAACTTTAAATAAAAATTTATTTTTTTCATATTGTTTTAGATCCGTCTATTTTAATCTTTTTTAAAAAAAATAAATAACATTAATCCCTGTTTATTTTAAATATTAAATAAAGTATTTATCACCGTTTATTTTTATATATATATATAGAACAAAAAACTTTGTCTATTTTAAAGGCAATATATATATATATATATATATATATATATATATATATATATATATATATAAATTAAAAACCGTAATCCCCATATAATATAAGGGATACGCAGATATTTTTATTAAAATTTAAATTACGTAAAGGTCAGTCAATACCCAGCACTTGTTGTACATGAAACTCCGACACGTGCTATATGGTAAGGAATACACACACACACACACACACACACACACACACACACACACACACACATATATATATATATATATATATATATATATATATATATATATATATTATGTTTTGTGTGTGTGTAATGGACACTTCCTCTGTCATCGACATATGAAGTCCCAACATTTTCCTTCCTCGAATTGAACAGTCAGGCTAACCCGCACGCGTGATTATAGTGGTAAAGGTTTGTGACCAACCATTCACACTATTCAGAAGAACTGAATACAGAGTACTGGTGCACACTGGATATGTTCCAAACACTTTCGCTTGCACAAAACACGCCAATCAATCATTATGCATATCTGCATACAACATAATGCATATTTGTTTCATGTTCTAAGCGCTCTATATCTGCTGCCGCGATTGCAAAACAAAAAGCCTATATCCGTATTTACTAGACTGCAACGTTCATATTCCTTTCGTTTTTACAGGGTGAGGCAGAAATACCTATCACATTTTAAACTGCCACCTGGTGTCTTTCTCTAGCTAATGTCTTTTCATTTTTTAAGATACCATCAGTTACACTTATGTCTTGGACCGGTGCATACAGTGTGTTAGCTGTTGAAACGTTTTTTTTTTTTATTTTTTATAGGACTGGTTAATCTGTAATTGCAACACAGACAGTTTTTCGTGCTCATTTCATGTTACGTCGTAACGATGTTCCGGATAGAAAATCAATACAGACATGAGTTGGAAATTTCAGTGCCAGAGGTTCAACGCTTAAAAGAAAGCCATCTAGAAGTCCTTAAAACGCTCGAAATTTCCTGTGATGAAAAACTTTAGAAATCGTCTCCAATAGTGTATAGCGAATAGAAATCATCATTTGGGTGTCATCTTTAAATCAAAATGAATAAAAACTGGAGACTCTTTTTCAACAGAAGTGAAATAAATTTTTAAATAGCAGTTCCTTTGGTATTTTTATCAACCTTTAAAATGTGGGTGATATTTTTGCCGCACCCTGTATTTCTAACAATAATAAGATCGGCATAAAATATTTAAACAGAATGTATTTCTTTGTTGACAGATCAATTTAAGACCACTTATTTAGATAAGTATTAATACTGTCTTCCTCTAGCTAATGTCTTACCATCCATTTTGTTTCAGATATCAACAGTTACCATCATGCCTTGAACCGATGCACACCAATGAATAAAAACTGTAGTCTTTCTTTTTTAACAATAGTGAAATAAACTTTTTAATAGCAGTTATTTTGGTCTTTTTGTCAATCGTTAAAACGTTGGAGGTATTTCTGCCACACCTTGTATAATATGGACCTTTTTCTCCGAAGATAGCACACCCAAACGAACAATTCTTTTCTTTATAAGCACCGACTCAACCATAGTACATATGTGTCGATGACGATCGTGTCTGATTACTGGTTTGTCGCAGTCACTTTGCCCCAGACAGTACTTTTTCAGTCGATAAAATAAAAATTGAAGAGAGAAACATAATAAAAAGAAAAAAGAACAAAAAAAAAAAAAATAATAGATTGAACTTAGTGCAGAGCAGAGATCCACCTTCTGGAGAAGATGCAATCTATAATACACAAGACTCGTCGGAAGCTGCATTTCTAAATAAAAGAAATGCATTGGAAATATCGGCTCCGACAGATATAAATCCGATATTCTGATTTGTCTTCTGTTTTCACGTGTCTAGAGAAGATGACGTCACGTTTCCGTGTAATTGCCGTGGATGACGTCAGAATACGTTCTTTTCTGCCAAAATGCCCGGTAAGGGTTAAGGCAAGATTAATTGATCAATTTATAGTTGTACAAAGCAAGGAAATACATTTTTCTCTTTAAATATTAATTATCTGTGTAGATACCTAAATTATTTATACCGCCAATACTGTTATTCGTAGTATTAATAGTATTATTACTATAATTATTATTAACAGTATTACTACTATTACTACTACTATCAGTACTAATAACAACATTAGTTACCATCATGTCTTGGATCGGTGCACACAGTGCGTTTGCTGTTGAAACGTTTTTTTTTTGTTTTTTTTTTGTTTTTGACCGGTGAATCTGTAAACATAAATTATTTATACTGCCAATACTATTAATAGTCTTAATAGTACTATTGCTATTATTATTAATAGTATTACTATTACTACTGCTATCAGTACTAATAACAACAATAATAAAGGTTATGAAGTTGGCCGTTAAAATGAAAAGGGGGTGCTGATAAAGAAACGCACAATAAGCGTACATTAATTCTGAAAATAATAATGCAGTTTCAAATAATTATAATATTGTGATAGATAATTTGGTTGGCTGGTTGTTTTTGTTTAGCGGCATGTCAACACTTCTATGTGTCATTTAATTTTGAAATCTAAATATTTTGTACGCAATTTTATTCTATTTTGGAAGATAATAACGGTTAAGTAATACAAGTAATTAAATTAAACCAAAGCGCTAAGAGAAGATTTGGATTCATGCCTTTCCCAAAGAGAATTTGCTCGTAAGTGAATATAACGAACCCAACTGGAATTTGAACTCGCCTCTCCGATTAACAATTCCGAGTCATTATCCATTACACCACCCTGAGTTCAAAGCTTACAAGAACCGGTATTCCCAAGCGGTCACCCATCTAGGTACTGACCAGGACCGACTTTGCTTAACTTCGATGATTGTACAGGAAACGGTGTTTCAACGCGATGTGATTGTTAAGTGGAAATTACAGATAATATTCATGTCAATTATAAAACGATGAAGATATTATTAATGATATAAAAATAATGATATTGTATGATAAAAGCAATTTTATTGAGCTATGCAGATGACACTGTGTTAATAGCAACTTTACGGAAAGTAAACTGCAGGTACTCCTATAGAAGTAAAGAAAAGCATACACTTACGTGCAAATACCCTTGGGAAAGGTAACAGTCCAACTCTTCTCCCCACCCGCCAAATATAGGACAGGTTGGGTCCTATAGCTTGTGGGGGGGGGCTGCAATCCTTCTACTGCGGAAAGAAACGGCAACTCAGTCAGGAATCGAAAGATACATGATTGCTCAAGCGTGTATCACGCACGGGACTGATATCACTTTGTTGATATTAACTTGAAGCAACCGAAATTTTGTTCTACAGAAGGATATTCAGAATACTATGGACTGAACATGTGAGCAGTGATGAAGTTTTAGAGAAAATGGAAACAAAAAGAACACGTATGTTTAACATCAGAAATAGACAATTGAAATCTCTGGGGCGCATAATGAGTAAAGAGGGCTTAGAAAATTTGGCAGCACGCCGTCAGATAGGGAATATCTACAGACAATTTTCATCAGGCTGCACTAATGACAGTTTTTGATGGCAGATATTGAAAGTAAACCACATGCAATCCTATAGAATCAAAGGAAAGCGTGAAGAAAGGACTAAGCATCAATTGTAGCAAGAGAGAACGTGTGGTTGTCAGCAAAAGGAACAACCCAAGAGGCGAAATACACGAGTTGGAGACACCAGAGCGGAAAATGCAACACCGCAGCCCGAAGACACATTGGGATAACGAAAGAAGCCTTTCAAAAGCTAAACAAAGTAATAAGAAACAGAGACATTTCATTAGAAACAAAGAAAAAAGTACTGAACTGTTATGTAGTATCTGTCCTGTATGGCAGTGAATGCTGAACAATCTCCTCCCGGATGAAGAAGAAACTTGAAGCAACAGAAATGTGGTTCTACAGAAGGATAATGAGAATACCATGGACCGAACATGTGAGCAACGACGTAGTTTTAGAGAAAACATAAGCAAAAAAAGATATTTCGAATCAGAAAGAGACAATTGAAATGTCTATGGTAGACAACGAGGAAAGAAACCAAAGAAAACTTACAGGACATGCTGAAGGCAAGAGACAGAGTAAAGCAGTGAATAACCTATTTAACGAGCTTGTGAAAATCGTTGCCACTATTTACTCTGTGAGAATTATTCAAAAGGTTCTTGAGATTTTAGCAGTCTTATTGACACCCTGCCTCAAGGAGATAATTCTTATTGCTTACGCAAATGTGCGACACCATATTAATTTCGGTATATTACATTTTATTTTAAGAAAGTTAAAATGGAACTCGTAAACCAAAATTATGTCTGCAGCTTATGGAAGCAGAGAAATGAATCAACAATGACCCACTGAAATTTAAACTCGTCAGCCTTTGGAAGTTGGGGAAGTTTACAATCATATCAGTTGTCATTGGTGGGCTTAGTAAGACGACTATCAGAAGAGAGATATGGATAAAGAAAATTGACATTGATTGCCCAGTGGAATTGTTGCAGAAAAAAAAACCGTCTTAGGAAAGGAAAGAATAATGATTTTCCAAGCATAGCTTAGATGTGGCACAAGGCCGAAAATAGGAGCACCCAGTGAGAATCGAACTCATTACTCAGTCGTAATTATTCTAGCGAGACAAGCTTGTTCACCATTACACCACCTCGAGGTGCCCAACGAACGGAAAGAATAACAGTGAAGGTGATGTACACTTAGGATCAAAGGAAAATTGCATGACGCCTAAAGCTGCTAATTGTGATCAGCTATCCATGCATTAATTACATGTTATGATCTGAGAAAATACGACATAAAATTAAGTAAACAATAATAATGCAACACCAGTAATAGATCTCGTGGCTTCTGGTCTTAATTGATTGGAGGTGCTAACAAGTACCTGTTTTCTCTTGATGAAATATTAAATATCTCATTCAGTAACATAGATTTGCTTGTCAGTTTCTTTTGTGTTTTTTTTTTAATCATTTCACTCCAAGCAAAGTAGTAACGTCACTAAGACGCAATATTTTACTGAGTATTAGAGAATATGAATAAAAAATACTATTAAGGAGAGAGAACGATAAAAGAACAAAAATTAAGTAGACAGAAGATGTTTTATTTACATCTTTGAAGATCAAAGTTGACTGGGAGGCAAGAAGCCGAAGAGTTCCACAAGCGAGAAGTGCGATAGAAGAAACTGTTAACATAGATGTTACGGTTTCATCTAGTCATTTCAACTGTAACATGATGAGACCTTGCCGCCAATGTAGTACTACGCTTAAATTCATAAAGTCAAGGTACCATAGAGGAAAGTTCATCACAACAATTACCATAAAAATATTTATAAAAATGGCACTTGGAAGTTACGTTACGTCGGTGGGAAAGTGACTGAATCCGATATGCCAGGCCAGGACCAATAATATGTGGCAGTAATATTCTAAGCATTTACTTGTAAATATTTAAGATCGATTCGGACGAGAAGAATTGTCTAGCACTAACCCAGTGAGCCAACTTTCCTAGCAGCATTGCCTGACTTTAACCAGCCAAAGCAACTTGGGATTTACATCTAGATTATGCGTTGATTTTATCAAAACCTGACACCATATCGCGCATATTTGGTTGTGAGGCATCTGCCTGGTACAACCATATCAGGCTGGGTGTCATGATAGATATACCGAGCTTCGTGTCTTTGAAATATATATATTCGTCACTTTTTTCTCACAATAATAATAACAATTATTATTATTATTAAAATTATTATAAGTAGTAATAGTAGTAGTAGCAGTAATAGTACCCTAAAAATTTAACGGTTTTGCTATTTAAATATTCTGAGGAACTATAGTTCTTGAATTAATGACTTCTACGACCATAAAATTTCCGTGGAAACTCCCTTATTTCGTCGTTAAATATTTGAGCTTAACAACTTTAATAAAATATTACAATAACAATTATAAGGACAAATGCAGTACATCAGTTAAAGAAGTAAGGGGATACAAATGAAAAGATTTGATATTGAAAAGTTTTTCCATTTCACTGAAGCAGACGTTAAATACATGAGAACTTTCTCACCTCCTCTATCGTCCATTTCTTCCTTCTTTTCTCTCACTGAAGCCAAACAACACTACCAATCTTTCCTTGGGATCAAAACGGAATAGTCCATTATTTATTAGGTACCTGTGACAGGTTATATCATACGTACTAATCACGGAACATGCAGAATTATAATATGAAAAACAAAAACAAAAACAGCAGCAGCAGCAACAACAATAATAATAATAATAATAATGATGATGATGATGATGCAACTTTTAAGGGAAGGAAACTGTAAGAAATTGTAAGATCGGGCAGCAGAGAAAGGACTTGTAACAATTTTATGGGAATTTACAATAATCACAGGCAGAACAATCAAAGCTAATCTCTCAGACATCGTGATCAAAGACAACAAAAACAGAATGCGCTTTTTTATTGGCATGGCGGTTCCTGCAGATCGTAATGAATCTTTGAAGATCTTTAAAAAATATCAAAATATAAGTATCTTGAAGTAGAAATCTAAAAAATGTGGTACATGAAAATCTATAATTTCGGTTGTGTTTGAAGCCCTCGGCCTGATTTGAAAAAAGGTTTTGACAGACTCATTGAAGGGATCTCTGGTAGCCCATGTCTTAAAGAAATACAAAAAAGATGTTCTCACAAGTACAGCTCCCATCTTACGAAGAACTTTATCTATGTAAAATGTTTTTGATCATAAGTTGTTTTTTTTAGTTTTTTTTTTTTTTTCTCAGTGGAAAATGTCATGAAGCCATTTCTGACCTTAGTTCTCTGGTTGGGACCCAGAAGGAAATGTAAATACAACAGAAATCTAAGGAAATAATAATAATAATAATAATAATAATAATAATAATAATAATAATCTGCGATATTTGCTCAAGCGATATATTGTTTTGTTTATTTCCGATTGTGGCAAGAAGTGGTGAGTGGTGTAATTTGAAATCGGTCTGGAGTACCATGGCATCGTTGTGTAGCTGACGAATCAATGATAGACAATGCTAGTTTATCTGAAGTAGTTTTCTTTTACTTTTGATGTGAAGGGAAAACGTATGTCGAATGTTATAGCGGAATGCACTGCAAAGGATTCGAAAAAAATTCTTTGAGAAATAAGACGTATAAATAACTTTTGTGACGTACGGTGGCCGTTAATAATTAAGTATAACTCAAGACTTCAATGTTAAAATAAAACAGTATTTAATTACAACCGCAAATAAATACTTAACAAGAACAAAGAAATAAAAGTCAACAAAAGATAATTAACCATTTCAGTGAATACCTTGTTAGTAGAACGGCCTGGCTTAACGTCCGGTAAATCCTAAACCAAAACTCAAATTATCGACGCACAATAATTCACACTAATTTGACTGGATAGTTCCACTCAAAAGTCACTCAATGGAGTCAGTATCCTGATACTGTTATGTATACACCTGGCAGAAAACATATTCATAAGTCCAGAGTGACACGTTCGAACCTCGGTGTCAGTAGTTACTCATTTTCTTCCTATATAACAATAACTTAGCTCAATGCTGTTACTGAAATCTCGTTACTTGTATTAAAAAATAATCCAATGACAACCTGAATAGTTTTATAACAGTACGCATTGTTTTTGTTTTTTAAAGAGAAGACATAACTTTCTTGACGCATCGACATATATTTTCTTTGTATTTTGCTCTGACTAATTTCTTTTTCATTGATAAAACGTCTATTCCTAATCGAAAGAAAGTCATGAATTTTAACAATGTATAAATATATATTTTTTTTAACTCGACAAGAAATTGTACTTAAAAACAGAAGAATACAATAAGTGATGATATGCCGGAAAAATAAAGTAGATCTATTTTCATGTCACAGCCTAAGAAGGTAGGTGCAAACAAATGGGAACTCCATCGGACAATCAGCCTAATGAGTCATATATAACAAAACTTATCGACGGAATTCTTATGAATAGAGCGTGCAGAAGAATCAGGCCAGAGATAGGACAAGAACAGTGCAGGGTCGTTAAAGACATTGGTACAATGAACGCGATATTGATGCTTAGAATGATATCAGAAAGAGTAATACAAATGCAAAAAGATGTATACTTACGTTTTATAGATTATGAAAAAGCATTTGATAAAGTATGTCACAAAGAATTGTTGCAACTGCTAGGTAACCTTGACATATTTGGAAAGGATATTAGAATAATCTAGAACCTATACTGGAAGCACACCACATGCATATGGATAAAAAATGAGTTCAGTAAATATACAAAAATAGAAAGGGGGTGTAAGACAAGGATGTGTCTTCTAACTGGACTTATTCAACCTATACAGTGAGGCAATTCTAAGAGAATTAGATGCCATATTATGATTTATTATTAGCAGGTACAATCTTAACAACATAAGATATACAGATGACACAGTGTTGATAGCAGATATGAAAAGGAAACTACAAGAACTCCTACAGAAGGTAGTGAAGGAAAGTGAGAAGAAAGGACTAAACATCAATTGCAAGAGGTATATAATGCATGGTTGTTAAAAAAAGGAACAGTACAACATGCAAATTACAAATTGGAGATAGCAAAATCAAAAAAGGACAAAAATTTAAATATCTAGGAAGTGACTTAACAGAGGACGGTAAGTGCGACACTGAAATCCGCAGGCGCATTGGGATAGCCAAAGATGTATTCCAAAAGCTAAGCAAAGTATTAAGAAACAGAAAAACTTCATAAAGAAAAGGGTACTGAACTATTATGCAATATCAGTCCTCCTATATGGCAGTAAATGCTGGACAATCTCCACGGATGAAGAAGAGACTTGAAACAAGAAAAATGTGAATCTACAGAAGGATGCTGAGAATAGTATGGACTGAACATGTGAGCAATGACAAAGTTTTAGAGAAAATGGAGAAAAAAAAAGGACTCTTGTACTTAACACCAGAGAGTGACATTTTAAGTTTCAAGGCACATAATGAGAAAAGTGGGCTTGGAAAATTTGATACTCACATTACAGATTGAAGGCAAGATGAACAAAGAAAAACAACGCATAACCTATCTAGCGTCTTTGTTGTAAATGGGTGGCAAAGCAAAGTTTAGAAGAGACAGCAAAAAGACAAACTTTATTAAGAGTGTTGTAACCTAAGGAAGATTACTGAACAGAATAATCACACGAAGGTTGGTAATGGACGATAATACTTAGGACAAGAACAACACATTTAAGATTCGCCAGCGGCGCGTAGAATATGTAGTCAACTACTAGAAATGAGTCAAGTGAATTCCACGATGAATGTCCAATGGCAGACTAACATACAGTATTTACTACTGTATTTATGTGAACGGGGACATACACATTATCGTCCGTAGGTATGCTACAACAAGGAGTTTCAAAAGTGGAAATTGTGGAGCATCATGATCGGCTATATCCTGACGAATCACGGCACATAAAAGAAGAATACCTACTGTTGATGGAGACAAGGCCTCCGACGAAACAAAGAAATGGTACGAGTTTATCTTCCACGATGGAATTCTCGGCAGAGAGGGGGTAATCATTATGTCTACGTACCACTTGATATTTTGACTGGATACAATTTTCAATCTACTTTAACCCAATAGTGTACGTCTGTATCCTTCCATATTAAACGTATTGTTCAAATTCAATGGTAAACTTATAAATATGTAAGATATATTGGGTGAGAAAAATTCTTAGACCAATTACTCTACTGGATGTCAACATCAGTCATGCTGATGAAAGTCAGAATGTGTTCTCTCAGATGATTAATAGAGAGCAGATTTGTTTTGAAGGCATTAAAATTAACAAGCTATTTCTTGCCCCAGTTAATATCAGAATGTAGATCTTTTCTTTTTTCTTTTTTTTTTTTTTAGATCAGTTGCCAAGTTAATCCTATTGAACCGAGTACGAGTTAAGAACTGGTGCAATCAGGAAGGTCGTTGATAAAAATTAGGAACAACATGTCCAAGGATAGAACCCTAGGGGACTTCTGCATTAACGTAAAAAGATCTAGAAGAGTGGCCATTCAAGACAACTTACATTTCGAGATTTTATAAGAAAGATTGAATCAGTTAAAAAAATCGGAGTTATATGTATAAGACGCAATAGAGACTCAGTTCTAAGTGGGAAGTTAGGCAAAGATACTCCAGATGAGTTAAGGATTGAATTTGAAGAGAATTTACGAGCAAGACTTTTACTTTATCAGTAGAAGTTTTTAACATCTCAAATTGAGTGAAGAGGGTAGTGATCCTTATTCTTTTACAGAGCCACCAGTAGTCACCAGGGCCACGCTTGTTAGAGGCTATACATTGGCTCATACTACCAGCACAAATTTATAACAAAGACTTAGCATCTTTGAGGACACGATTATAATTATTACGAACAGACACAAATAGGCGTCTGTTGTAGTCGGAACGTTCATGCTGGTATACTAGGAAAAAGTGATTCCTGAACACATAAAAGAAAAAATTGTGGTTTCACCTGTTATTTCCTAGAAGATACAAAAGAGTCGATGCCGTCTAAAGAAATATTTGTGGCTCAATTCTCAATAGGAGGGTTAAGAATATCAATCCAAGGAGCATCCAGAAGAAAGTTATGAAATGAATTAAATCCTTTTTTTTTCGCTTTTCAAATGTAAATTCTCTTGGTTTTAATTTAAAGAAGAGTCATTAGCATTCCAAGTGTTTTCCTACATTTGAATTCATTATTTTTCTTATGTCGTTCCCTTATGTTTTCGGTCATTCCATTCTACAGCCTTTTTCAGGTGCATTAACTGTATCGAATACATAATTTCAGTAGGAGTGCCTAACGGAGAGGATAATATGGAAGCGGTGAGCCGAGTTCAAATTTTGGCCGAAACGATTTGTGTTCAATTCACGCCCTCAAGAAAGGTATTAACCGGTTTTTCTCACCCCATTCCTAACTGGATGTTAAAAAGAGAGAGCTGAGTGAACTCTTTCTTTATTGGCTGGTAAAAGAAAGGATGCGGGGCAACAGTTTACACCTTGTTACCAAGGATCAGCCTCTAGAAACAAATTCCATAGAACTAAAAACGGATAATGTCCTGATGTCCGTAGCAAAGACTCAAAACGGGGAAAATGTTCGAGACCCTCCCTACTAGGTAAATAGATAGATAGATAGATAGATAGATAGATAGAAAGAAAGAAAGAAAGAAAGAAAGAAAGAAAAAGACTGTGATAGATAGATAGTTAAAGACTGTGATAGATAGATAGATAGATAGATAGATAGATAGATAGATAAGAAAAGAGTTAGATAGATAGATAGATAGAAAAAGACTGTGATAGATAGATAGATAGATAGATAGATAGATAGATAGAAAAAGACTGTGATAGATAGATAGATAAAGACTGTGATAGATAGAAAGAAAGAAAAAGACCGTGATAGATAGGTAGATACTAGATAGGAAAAGATTTAGATAGATAGATAGATAGATAGATAGATAGATAGATAGATAGATAGATAGATAGATAGAAAAAGACTGTGATAGATAGATAGATAGATAGATAGATGGACCCTTCGAGGACTATATAAAGTATGCGATATAACAAGAGAAGAGGAGAGAGAGAGAGAGAGAGAGAGAGAGAGAGAGAGAGAGTATTCTAATACCGTAGTATCAGCCGCGTACGACTACCAATATTGGACAGTAGCACATAGTAAGCTCCGCTTACACTTACACTATCTTTGTAACCTTTTTGTTTAATATATCTTTCTTACCTCTAATCCGTGTTCCGTGTTTTCCTTCCATGTGATAGATAGATAGATAAAGACTGTGATAGATAGATAGATAGATAGATAGATAGATAGATAGATAGAAAGAAAGAAAAAGACTGTGATAGATAGGTAGATACATAGATAGGAAAAGATTTAGATAGATAGATAGATAGATAGATAGATAGATAGATAGATAGATAGATAGATAGAAACAGTTTATTCTGTCTATTGTTAAATAGAATAAAGAGCTTTTAATTTAAGTGACATTAAAAAATATTTGATTGAATTCGTTTTGGGGCTCGGACGATCCTGGCTCTCCACAAGTTCCTATACTTTGTATTTATAAACACTGTTTTTTTTTTACTTTTACTGTCCCTCCCAGAACCATATTCAAGTATCCATTTACACAAGCTCGTTAGATAGTTTACACGCTGGTTCCCTTTGTCTCTCTTGTCTTCGATATGTCCTGGGTGCGTCGAATTCTCCAGGCCTTCTTTTCTCATTCCAAAGCACTTCCTCATATAAAAACGCATTGGTTATATCCATTGCTATGAGACATAAATTCCGAAATGTTTTTTCTCCCGCCATCGAATTACATAAAAGAATTAAGAAAAAAAAAATGCTTGATCTTAATGAAATTTCTTTTTTGCAGCCGAATATTTTTAGCACCAGTTCTTGTACTTTCTTCTTTACAATAAGTCAGTTAAGATGCAAGGCTATTTGATTTCCTAAACGGTATTAAATGCGCAAATCCTCTTGAGTTCACGTTGCCATCAGCTGCAGACGATATCTGCTCGTGTTATTATCTACTACAGCGAAAAGCGTTATCCTTGAGGTCTGTTGGCATTTTAATATACGTTAGTGATAATTATGAGTAACGCATGGAATCTTTCTTTTAAGCGAATGTAACCGACATGGCAGACATTTGAAATCGATACTAAACAGTCTCGCTACCTTTAAATAATTTTGAAAATTGTGGTCGACATACGTACAAGTAGATAGATATGTATAAGCCCCACTAAAAAAGAAGATAGATAAATAAATAGATAGATAGATGTTAATAAGTACAGTAGATATATCTTACCCCGTCGAGCGGGACGGTGTTTCTGTGAAATTTCAAGTCGGGACGTAAATCAGTCACATAATCAGTTGTCGTTAGTCTGTTGAGTGGCTATGATTGCAGTATCTAACATCGTTTACAACTTACCGCAGTAGCTGGCAGCAGACAGGTCTTTTGTAGATACCCCAAGCAAGGCGGGAGTGCCACTAGCACGCAAGGGGTTACAGAGAGTGGGAGCAAGAGAAAGAGGCGTGACATAGGAAAGGATGAAGAGAAGCACGGGGTATTAGATCAAAACAATTGAAAATGTCGATCGACATTGCATTTGAATAATTGTAGCTTATAGCTATCAGGGAAGCAAGTAAAAGGAAGGGAGTTCCATAGACAGTGGGAAGTGCGTGACATAAAGCTATTGGAGTAGAAGAGACGGTGACATTTAACAGTTTCGACAGTGGTATTCAGTTGCCGACCTAGTAGCACGCTTGAATACCTACTAAGAATTGCAAAACGTAGGAACCTGGACGCAGATGAACTAGCTACTAAATAGCTTCTAAGCCATTTCGACTTAGTGAAATATTTTTCTTTTAATTAGAGTAGCATTTTTATATCAAAATTGTGGTCAGTCTCATTACTGTGAGCAACTAATGCGTTTTGTATGTTGTTTTTTAAAATGTCTCTTTTGTGTTCATATAATCTTTTATTTAAACTTCTTGAGGTTTCTCCAATATATTCTTTCTGGCAACATTGGCAGTGATAGAGCAGATTCCTCCTTCAAGTTTTGGCTCGTTGTTTTGTATTGATTAATTCTTTTATCGTTTTAGATGTGGTAGTGACAAATACGATAGATTTCCACTCACAGTTTACAATGTCTTTTTTTCTTTGGCCACAATCCTTTTCTCTCGTTCGTTCCTATACATCAGCAATTCTCACAGAAGTAATATCATGCTGATTCGCAGACCAGAGATATTACGTAACTTTCAACGCACATCAACAACACTCGACTCCGCAACAAGATGCATCACCGCCGAAAACGATAGTAATTATCGATTTGAACATAAAACATTTCTGCTTGTATCTTGTAGGTCACAGAACGGTACGTAACAACCAAAGGGCGTGGGGCGATAGAGCTCTGGCGTCATTAGAACGCGCTTAGTTTCTAATAGAAATTTCCCGAAGAGTTCTATTTAGGTGTAAATATACATGCTTAATTCGAAAATAACAAAGAAATTTTCATAAAATCTACCGTTTTGGAGTTACCGACAAGAAAATTTCGGACTCATTAGCGTCGCGGAGGGTGAAGTTGAAATTAATTCTGCATCCCAGTCTAATGTGTGTTGTGCTTTTATGACTAGCAGAGATCTTCAAAGTAGCCATCTACTTGATCGAAAGTGAACAGAATAATAAATAAATGAAATGACACTTGAAATGGCACTTGATCTTCCACTCACAGGCTTATATAAAGTCAAAAGTTAAACTGAGGATTGTTTCGAATCCGCCCATTGGTCTATACACGCCGTCCATCGAGAAAGAGTCCCGATACTCCCTGAGAGCGAAATTGCCCAGTTTCGCATCGTGATTAAACTTCCCGCTGTCTAACGGGGGGATAAAAAAAACTGATTTGTTAGTCTGTCCCACGTGACACCTACCTACCACCGTCCAGACCATAGAAGCGAATCCATAAATAAACAACCAAATATATTAGATACCGGTTTCCCGTTCTCATTTCTCACGTTAATTACGCCGTACGTTTTCCGTGTGGGCGTGCAACGGGACTTTCCCAGTTTATGTCACATCGACATAAACGAGAATTTTACACAAACTCATGAAGCAGGTCATTTGCTGCGTTCTCCCACTTCTCTTGACTAAAATATGCGATGTGTGTGTTAGATTCTCTAAGCCTTCTTTCTCTATTTTGTGTCCCAGAATTTCAAACTGTGTTTCTCTGACTGTAATAATCAGTTTCCTTGTTGTTTCTATTTTCCCTCAGACTTCCTTGTTGCTGACATGTTCTGTCAATGATATTCTCATCATTCGTCGGTAGAACTACATCTCTGTCGCGTCAAGTTTCCTGTTCTTCCGTGAATAGATTATCCAGAATTCAGTGCCATATCCAGGTTATCTTTGCCTGATTTTCCATTTAAAACTGAGTCTCTACTAGGTGATAGGTACCTAACTCCATCCAAGGCCGGTGCAAGGGTTTCATGTCTCCCACAAATATTATACGGGGCCACCCACTCTACAAAATCTCAATTGTCATAAGGTAGTATTCATATAAAATACAATTTTTATTGTAACCTAATTATGTACAATAACGGATCATATGCAATATAGGTGAACAATTCAACTAGAAAAATTGAAAATAAATACAATATTAATACAATATCTAAATACAAATTAGAGACATGTTTCTATCTTAAATGTTTTGTGGCAATGTTGAATATTAACTTGAGATTTTCCTTATTAAAATGTTGAATAATTTTAACACATTGAACATTATGGATAAAAAATACTGAATTTTATATAGTGCTTTTTTATGAATCTGGCAATGAAGATTAGGATAATAGTAATAATAATGTAAATAATATAAATAATCATAATACCTCATCTCAGAGATATAGACAGATATTGAGGGTTTGATAGTCTGGTCTTCTTTACAAGTTGAAAGGTTATGGTATTTCTCGACGAATTTTTGATTTGATACAATCTTTCTTATCAAATCGTGAAATAAAGGCCACTATTCTAGATCTTTCTATATAAATGCGGATGTTCCCCGGGGCTCTATCCTCGGAGCTATTTATTTTGAATTTTTATCAACGACCTTCACGGTGTCATCAGTCCACAACTCGGTGTTGACGACACAACTATTCTGCTTCTGTCTTAATGGTGAGTTTGATGGATTTGAAAAAGTCAAATTGGCAGTTGATATCGAAAATGACCTCCAATCTGGAACAAGGAATGCGCTGTTAATTTTAACGCCTTCAAAAATTAAACTTGCCTCTTTTAATCGTCTTCGAGAAGCTAGATGTAACCACAAGTTCTATTCTAATATTTTCTTCACTCGCACTTCTCGCCAGTATTCCGGCTTCTTGTTTACAATCCTCAAAAAAATATTACCAACGTCAATCGTCACCTTGTCTTTTTGAATCCTGTTTTTTTTTTTATTTCCCTTTCTACTCAATATTCTTCTGTCGGTTTCTTACACTCGCAGTAACTTCTTGCATCTTAGTGGCTTTATCGCCTTAGTGGCTTTATCGCCTTGCTTGGGGTAAAATTATTAAAGAAATATTGGAGATTAGATATTACATAGTTTCACTTTTTGTTTCAAGTAAAATGTTTCTACCTCTTTATACATTACTTGGTTTCTGGAAGGCATCTTTCGTTATTCAGATATGTTTTCGGATTTCTGTGTAATATTTTCTGCCGTCTATTGTTAACTAAATAGCTGAATTTCTGTATGTGCTTGATTTTGACGTCCCCATTAGATAGCTCACAGCTGGGTTTGTCTCTTTTGCTGACAACTATGTATTTTCTCTTCTTATATTCTTTTCTTCATTTTCCTTTATTAGCTTTGGTTGACTAGGACAAGAAATGGCTTATAAACTTTAATGCATTCAAAACGAAACTGCTCTCTTTTACCCGCCAAAGAGAACCCTCCCTGCCTCCCATCAACTCCTCGAGAGCGCCTCGTTACGCCTGCTTGGTCTCACGCTGTCCGCTGATATGAGGTGGAACAAATACATTGAATCAATAGCTTCATCTACCACAAGGAAATCTTGTTCTCTGTGTCGTAACAGAAAGTTTTTTCTCGTCTGAGTCCATCCTTCAAATTTATAAATCGACCATTCATCCTTGCATGGAATAATACAGTCATATATAATTTGGTGACTCCGCTGTATGTCTCGAGGTCCTCGACAAAATCCAGAGACGAATATGCAATACGAGAGGTCCTGATCTGGCATCTCGTCTACAGTTGCCTTCTCACAGACGTGCCGTGTCTACCCTCTGTCTCTTCTACAAGTATTTTCACGGTAAGTGTTCCGAGGAGCTACTTTTGGTGGTTCCCAGACAAAATTTAAGCGAGCTACCATCTCTTCTGCTCAAACAGCTTATTTTCTCGCACTTCCCGTTTGTGGAACTCCCTTCCTCTTGTTTGCTTCCTATAATCTTCAAATATTCAAGTGTAATGTCAATCGACATCTAATACCTTGATCTTGTTCCCCGTCTTTCTCTATATTCTTTCCTCAAACACGTTTGTTTATTCATGTTCTCAATCCTCTGTAACACCTTGCGTGCTAGTGGCACTCCTACCTTTCTTGGGTTGAATTGTTAAAAAAAAACAAAAAACAAAAAAACCACACACACACACACACACACACACACGCTTATCTAAAAGATTCGAACAATCTACTGTTCTTATCTGCATGTAGAAGTCCAGACGAGAACAAAAAAAAAAGGTTCGGTGACAAATCCTGAAGAAATACCAAACTCTACCTGGGACAACGCGGCAACAGTGAGAAGCTCCCAGAACAACTACCCCATCTTCGACTCTCACGAGGTTTCGATTATATCAGGCTGTTGGCCATTAGACAAAGAACTAGCCAATCAGCGCACGGGACAGGTTTTAAAAACAGGATATTTAGTATTTTTTTCTTTTCACAGGGAACACTGCCCGCTTACTGCCAGTTCGAAGTACAAGATGTTTCTTCTCTTTGTCTGCTGTAAAAAAAAAAAAAAATTCGTTGCAATTCGTTTTTGAAGCGGCAGATCCCCAAAACAAAACAAGAACCATGCGAAACTGATAATTCAAGACATAAGCGGATTAGACGGCAGGTGGAATCGCAGACCGTAGACAAGAGCCCATTTTTCATCACTCTTACGAAAGCTGAAGTAAAAGATGAACGAAAAATATCAGTTAGTTCTTTGTATATCTATGAACTTCGTATTTCTTTCGTAAGAAAATAATTGGAAACTCTCACTGTCTATACCAGCGAAATGGCAATAGAGCTTCAGTGTAACGGGTTCAATCTGCGTTCTCAATAAGATGGCAACGGTGAATTTTGAAGTGAAGAGGCGTGTAAGTACTTCCCACCTCTGAGAAGTGAGCATTCGTGCGAGGAAGATCCCTCATCCGTTTACCCCGAGGCTAGTGCCCCTTCTATCGTGAATGTCAGTTTACCCTGAAGTTCCTCTTACGAGTGGCGGATGTCCGAGCGTTGTTCTGTAAGGCATTATATCGCATGCTAGTTACGGGGTCTGATAGGCGAGCTCGGTCTAACAAAGCAGGAGGATCGCTTGATATGGCCTTGCGCGTCCGGGTTGAAATGCCTTACGAATGATGAGGCATCACCTGGCTGATGCTGTGAAGGACCCTTTGGGTCAGCAAGAAGCTTTGTTCGGCGGGTACTGAAAAAATCTCCAGACTCTGTTCTTTGCGGTGAGTCACTTTATTCCACTGCTGGGTCGTAGGCCCGTTGCGCAAGTTTTTTTGAAGACATCAGGGTTCGTATGCTGGGCGGAAAGTTCTTTGTCTTTGAGGTCACTTTCTGCCTGTAGTAATGTGGTGCCGTCGTTGAATAAGGCCGAACACTATGTGTTCATTTAGTTTCTAAGTGTTATGAGAGTAGTGATATGGACGACGCGATAGAAGGAATTTTATTGGAAGGAGAAGTTTAGCTCTTCCTAACTTAGCTTGTTCTTTAAGCCTCAGCTTAAAGTCAAGATTAGAACGGAATAGTAACGATTCCCTCTATTAGAATTTGACAAAAGGTGTGTGTGTCTTGTGTGTCTTTGTCGAGTGAAAGGAGATGACTTGGAGTGTAATTTTGATGCCGGTTAGGAATTAGGTTATTGTTCTTTTTGTGTTGGACTTTGGCAACCCCATCCGAAATAGGATAGTTTAGGTTTGTTTTGTCCTTAGTTTCTTTCGATAAAGTTAACTTAGCTAGAGAATGTATGCTCATTGGTCGCTTTTATTTCTGATCCCCCTTT